AGGAGGGCAATAAGACATGGTCTTGTAGTTGATCTGTGTTGTAGTTGTGCCCATATATGGAGTGGAGAGCACAATTATTTTTCATCTTATGTGTATTTAAATCTTCACAAAATCTTAGAACGCTCAACTAGGAGAGCAGGAGGCAGAAGTTTGACGGAAAAATATGAAGGGATTTGTATGGAAGGAAAAAAAAGGTCAATGAACAAGTATATAGATGTTGTAGCATTGAACATGTTGAGGTTTTCTCAACTCACAAGCAATTTTTTTGATCCCTTTATATCAAGGTTTGTAGAAGCTTGCTCAATGGCTACAATGCTTGCTCAAGTTGGATAATATGCAGTTACTCCTGTTAAGCACTAAATGATAGTCTCTATGACACAGCCCTTTGTGTTGGGTTGAGAGTCTATGGATTTTTGTTGCCACTTCAGCAATATTTCTACCTAAGGTGCACTATCTTTGGCGATAATCATACATATCACCTTAATTGGTTGATATGGGTACTGAAAATTACTGAGCTTCTTGCTAAAACTTCATCAATCATTTGTGATGTTCCTCAGGTTGACTGATGTTGGATGAAGCAAAAAGTTAAACCATTTAAATTCTTAAGTCATATTCTTGCATTTTCTGTGTAAAGCTTGTGGTCCAACATCTTTCAGATACAACAAACTATTTTATTTAAATGGATCTATATACTGCATTCAGCAAATTGTTTCATTGTCATAATGTGGTTTATGCTTTTTCCTCCACTCGCACTCTTGTAACAAATATTCTCTAGGAAATTGACAGACTCCTCAAACCCCATTGTGCGCACAAGCACTTATACAAAGTACAGCATAGACGAATATCCAACTGGGACAATGCAATGTTGCAGTGCTGGCGTACACGGGTAAGAATTTTAGATAAGTACATGGGGCTAATTTTATGGTCTTAATACCATAAATCTAATATCTTTACGTCATTTAGGTATGATATGGAGGATGCCATGATCTTAAACAAGTCATCTGTGGATCGTGGGATGTGCCATGGACAAATATACAGGTTTGTCTTTATGTCCATGTGGTGTAACCTTAAAGAAGTTTAGCTTTTTGAGCAGTATGTGCTCTAATGAGAAAAAAATCCAATGAAAGGATATGCATTTATGAGAAAATAATGATATTTTATTTTTATATCTCTTTGACGTTACTTTAAGTGAGCTTTTGAAGAATAATTACAATATGAGGTAAATTCATAAAATGATATGCACTTATGAGAGAAAAAATAATCATCAGATATACTATTTTTTTATTTTATTTTGGGTTGTTAGGTAAATGAAATCAAAACCCACCAGCTGGAAGTAACTCCTTATTCATTTGATATAATAGTCAAATATATTCTAATATCAGTGCAGGGGTACCTACATTATCTTAAGAAGAAACTAACGTTAACCTATATGATGCTTTTTTTTGCAGACGGAAACTATTGACTTAGCTGATGATGGCAGCAGGTCAGATCGAAGCCAAAGAGCCTTAGAAGGAATAGAGATAATAAATCTATGCACTCTGTGATTGATTCAGATGGACTTCCTATGTTGGTCAGGTTAGCATTAAAGTTCTGTTGTTTTCTCTTCCTTTTTGTGAGTAAGTTGTATTTTTTATTCATTTATTCTTGATGAATTTTGTGATAACTGATATTCAGTTGATACATCGGGTGAACCATACTGTAGCATTTAGATAGGACAACAAACTCATGGAGATCAACAGCCGAAAAGGTCGAAACTGTCTTTGTTGACTATGTCGCTGTTGATATGAAAAACAGCAAGAACCTTCTTCAAAAGGTAATGGATGTTCATTCATCTAGACCATATTTTAAAGAAAATAGGGTAATGCATGGTATGATGTTTGAGAAGTTTTTCTTGCGTTCTGAAATTTTTTGTTATATTCCCTGCCAAAATTTTCGCTTTAAAACCATCAATGGTTACTTGCCACTGTTCTGACATCCTGGGCTAAGGTTAGTCAACAATTTTGTTGCTTTGCTCATGGTTCTGGTGATAGGCTTAAAGAACTTGAACTCTAGTTTGCTCCTTTATATTGGTATTGTTCTCTTGGGTTTATTGAAACAGATTTGGTGTTAGTTTTATGATAATTCTTTTAGGAGAGAAATAAATACAAAAGAATGTTTCAAAATCTGAATGTTCCAGTAATAAGAGCTTTTAGGCGTCATCAGATGATTTGGGTCTGGTACCTGGGGGAAAATATAAATTGAAAATAATACATTTTGTTATTTGAAAACTGGGGGTACTTATAGTTCTAATTGCACTTATATGTCATTAATTGTGAAGCTTTCATACTTGGGATTACTTTCCATTGTCATGAATTATATTTCATATGCTTTTTATGATGTCACCTTATATCTCCCTCTGTCTTTTCCTCTCTATATTGCAGGCTAATATACGGTTCCGACATACTAGAAATCCTATTATTGGTGATAAATTTAGCAGTAGACATGGGCAGAAAGGTGTTTGCTCCCAATTGTGGCCAGATATTGATATGCCATTTTCTGGAGTACAGGAATGCGTCCAGATTTGATTATCAATCCACATGCGTTTCCTTCTAGAATGACATTGCTATGCTTTTGGGTCTGTTGCTGCTAAGGTACTCCTGTTTTGGGAATGAAATCTGATTCATAATATTTTGATCTGTATGAGATATTTTATATAATTTTTAATCGTTTTAAAAGAAAAAAGGTGGAAAGTAGCTGTATGACAAAAAATATTTGTAGAAACCTTTGGAAGTGATTTCAATAGTTAACATAGTTCCAGAACTCAAGTAGGCCGTAAGTAAAGGAGAGAAAGGTGAAATGCGACTGGGTGGGCCAGACGAGTCTTAATCTATATACAGTATGTATATTTGGTTGGATATATGCTTGGAATGATGCTTACTGCCATGTTGTCGCGGGAGGTGCCTTACATGGAAAATTTATGGATGCAACGCCATTTGCAAATTCAGTTAAGAAAGCCAATGGAGAGGCTGGAGGAATCTAAATCACTTGCGATGAGTTTGGTGAAATTGAAGACTGTGGCTTAATTATCATGGTGTGGAGGTATTATACAGGGGTTTATGGAACTGAACTGACATGGTGAAATTTTTATTGGACCAGTCTATTACAGCGGCTTCGGCACATGGTTTCAGACAAATTTCAGGTAACAAACTTTGCTTTCCTTTTATGTTAATAATTTTCTTGGCTGAGTTTTTTTTTTACCTCTTCGATTTTATCAAATGTACAAGGCTACTTTAGAGGTGGTTTTAAGGCTAATGAATTATGGTTGCCAGAGGTTAACAGTCTTGACCCTTGCGGTTGGCATATGCAGGTTCGGTCCACTGGAACAATCGACAAAATCACCCGGCAGCCAATCAAAGGAAGAAAGCGTGGTGGAGGTATCCGTTTTGGAGAAATGGAACGAGATTCCATGCTTGCTCATGGGGCAGCATATTTGTTGCATGATAGGCTTCATACATGTTCTGATTATCATGTTGCCGATGTATGCTCCATTTGTGGAAGTATGCTTACAACTTCATTTATTCAGCCCCAGAGGCGGGCAGTACGAGAGATCGGTGGGCTACCCCCTGCGAGAGCTCCCAAGAAGGTAACTTGTCATGCTTGCCAAACAAGTAAAGGAATGGAAACCGTTGCCATGCCTTACGTTTTCAGGTACCTGGCTGCCGAGCTAGCTGCCATGAACATAAAAATGACCCTTCAGCTAAGTAACGGAGCAGAGGTCTAATATCGGTTGATTGTAGAGTGTGTACCATGTCAAAACTCTACACCTTGCTCGGAGAATTGCATTCATTAGCTTTGGTTCATTCCAGCAAACATAATTCCAAGGGGAGCGATGTCAATCCCATGCTATCGCTATGATCTGTGGCTGCTTAGGAGATGCTGTAATTTATGCCGTGATTTTTGTTGTATGATTAATTTTAATTTATAGCTGAAATAGGTAGGTAGGTAGGTTCGATTTGTAAGGTCTTATTCTTATATTGTTTTCTGAGCTTTGCTTGATGCAGGTTTTGTAATTTATCAAGTACTAATTGTAATTTGTAACTCTTCTAATTAATTGAAATCACAATATTATTTTTGGATAATGTTTGCTACCTTTAGGATTTAATTGAATATAAAGTTTAACTTTTATAATTAAACTAGTAAAAATAAACTTTTATATATCGTATGGGATTGGGATATATGGATTGGTCGTGTACGTAACTACATATCTGATATCCCTTGAATTGAGTAAGACTGAAGTGATCCTATTGGTCCCAATTTCTTATTTTTAATCTTATTAGCCCTTTATTATTATTTTCTGCATTATAGATTTATTCTTTATGAAAATTGTTGAATAGGTAGGACTTAATAGATTATACCGTGGCGTAATTGATTTGAAAAGTGAAAACATTAACCCTACATTCATTTTCAAAAAATAAATAAGATGAAATTTATACAATGGAAAGAGTTTGATGAATAGCATATAATACAATAGAATCATTGGTTTTTTCCCTCGTTCTTCAATCTTCTAATAATTTACAATTCTTATATGATTTTTTTTTTTTTTTTGGTTATCTGACATTATAATAACAGTATACACCTTGATTAACATATAATATAATCATCACTAAATAAACAAGTCTTACAATGTTTTAAATTAAAAGATCACATAAAAAGCAAGGAATGTAGGGTCAAAAATATACCTGGCAAACTGGTGGACCAGATGGGTATGGCCTGAGTAACTACAGTACGGGTCAAACGGGTGAAAATTGTGAACGGGTAAAGGAAACGTATCACCCTTACTTGGTTATGTGGGTATGGCCGTATGGGTGGACCCATGGATCACCCGTTTCCCAAATCTAAATTTAACATTTTAATTTTTTCCCAAATTTGTTTTAGTTGCTAAGATTTGTTNCTTTATATCTCCTTTGTTTATTTTCAAACTGACGCTGCCATCATTGCTGTCTGAGATAATGCAGTAGCAAATATAAAGAAAGTCATTGATAAAAATCCTTCGAGGAGCCTCAGTGCAGCAATTGAGGCTATGTTGAAAACGGGAAGAATGGTTACCCAATCAGGACTAGATTTACAGCAGGTAATTGACATTCTGGTGATAGCTCTCAATTTTTCATTTCAAGTATTTTAAAGAGTGCTTCATGCTTGGTATTGTAACCTTTCCTCTTGTTGAAATATTTTGTGCTTTTTAGTTACTTATGCTTCCTGTTGAACAAATTCTGCTTCTAGTTAGCATTTTTTATATATTCATCATCAAAATAGGAAATGCTTTTTGTCGTCAAGAATAATTGTACAATCTTATTTGTTATTTAGTTGGGTGAGACTTAAAGCAGAAATACACATTGAACAGTTCAATCATAATTTTTAAGCATGAAACGGATATGCCTTTCTTTGGTTTTGCTTTTGTTCCAGTAAGGAGGTAAAATGGTGGTAATGCATTTAAAGGGGATAGCTGAAGACATTGCATGCATTATATATTATTTTTATTTTGTACCTAATTTCCTTTTAGTCAGCATTATGTTGTGTTACGCTTCGATAATCATTAATTTGGTTCTTTTGTTACATCAGAGAGCTGGTTACACAGTTAAGGCAGAGAGGCTTAACTTTTTACGTTTCATTTCATTCTTTCGTGCTGTGCATCGAGGGGCTTCATTTGCTGGGCTTCGTACAACCAGTGTACGGAAGTTGCTACCTGAGTGAGTATCTTATTGCCAATTTATCCAGCAATTTATATTTGTTTCTGAAGTCTAATATTTTCTTTGTTTATCCTATAACAGATCTTGGGGTTTCCTTTGTCCTGTGCACACGCCTGATGGGGAGCCATGTGGATTGCTGAACCATATGACTTCTACTTGTCGTAAGGCCTTTCATTTCTTTCTTCCTTATTTGTTTTTTTGTTTCAAATTTGCATAAGTTATCACTTCCACACTGATAGGAGCTCTGCAGCTAAAGTCCCTTGTTGTTCTACCACCTACTTATTTCCTGTGATGACAAAATGAGCCATACTGAAGTAATTCAGTGTACTAAAAAACTTTTATGGGATATCTTTTGTAAATCATGAGGAGTATTTTATTCGCTTGACTTCAATAGATGGGTTTATGTAGAAAAAATATGACATTAATTAACAAGATACCTTAAAATGGCTATTTTCGCTAAAACCCTAATTCAAAGGAGGAATAGGCCCTGGAAATTAACTCTTTGGGCAGTTGCTCTTGCAAAGCATACCTTTATTGGTTGATTGATGATCCTCCTCCTCCTTATTTCTTCCAGCTAAGATGTAGGAAAGCCAAGTTCCTAGTAAGAATTTAATTTAATTTTGGGAAGTAGCTTAATACATGACATTATCATGGTGTATATGTGTCAATCATCTTTTATCCACTGACCCATAGCCATGAAGTCGTGGTTTCCTCTTTAGGCAGCAAGGATGGCATGGGTCATTCCTAGCTTGAGTTTGTGTGTCCAAGTTTTGGAGGAGTGTGTACTTGGGAAGAAAAAGCAAAGATTTTGGAGATGTGAATGATGACAATTTCTGAGTACTATGGTTGAAAAAGAATGGAAGGATATTTGAGGATGAGATAGAAGGGGAGAGTGGCTTCTAGTGGCATAGAATTTGTTTGGTGTCTTATGGGCTACTTGTTGGGAAAAAAAGCAAAGATTTTATGGAGATGTGAGGATGAAATTTTTTTGGAACCATGGTTGAAAGGAAAAAAAGATTTGAGGATGAGAAGAAGGGGAGAGTGGCTTCTAGTGGCATAGATTTGTTTGGTGTCTTTATGGGCTTCTGTTGCTAAGGAATTTCAGGACTCTTCTATTTTTCATTTTCGAAAACTGGGAGGGTATACGGTACTAACATGTGGATGTGTATAGGGTCATACTAGAGAGACCCTTTAACTGCTTCTGATTGTAAATCTTTGGACCACTGGTTTGTCATAACAATTTGTATTTTATTTTCATGGTAATAGATATCATGTTGTTTCTTATTAAAAACAGTTAATAACTATCTGTGTTAATTCCAACTAAAATTTTAGGGGAGCACTTCCAACCTGTTATGGATGGACTCAGAAAAAAAAAGTTATATTGTTGTAAGTTTTTCTACTATCTATTCAAACCCTTGTTTCACTGAAAATTTTACTTCGCAATGAAGGTCTTAAATATAAGTTTCTGAAGTTATTTTCTTTTCTTCTTCAATCTTCTTTGGTAGGTTGCTGAAACTGTTCTGGGGATTACATCTTTGGTCATCTTGATGACAATTACGACAAGTCAATCTACTCATGGTAGATTAACTGTCTTTTTCTAAAAATGTACTTTGTGTGCTTGTTTCAAATTTGGACATTTAGTTGTGTTCTTATAAAAGTGGAGATTGTCTTCACATTTGGATTTGTTTTGGTTTCTTTCTTCGATTTATGTTGCAGAAACTTTTCTCACTTATTGATCAGAATTCAGTGCCAGACAACCAGACTTGCAGAATCAAGAAATCTTACTTCCTGGTCACTTGATTACCATTTATCTTAAGGTAGTACCTTGATAGTGGACACTTTTGAAAGAATGTCTTCTGTTATTAAAGAATTTTTCAGCAGTAGGTGAGAACTAGAAAAATTGATGTGGATAAAAGAGGAGTCATTTAGTTCTTTTGAGGCAGGGAGGCTAAGCTGTTAACTGATTTCATCCCACCTCAATATAATCAGCTATTGAGCTGTTTAATCTCTGTGTTTTGTGGGAAGATGATTTATATTTTCTTAAGAAACTATGATGTTACTTTTTTAACCTTTTTTTCCTGCGTGGCATATGAAGTTGTATTTTATGTGAAGCAGTAACTATTTTCTGATTGTCTTATTATGCATTTGAAGTGTCGTAAATTTGAAAACAATTTGTATTTTAATGCAATCACCTTGTAGCCCAAAAAGTTGCTTAGTGTGGTTTGGTTGACCTATAATTAATGCTAAGAATGTCTGCTTATGTTTTTAGTCACTAAAGCATTATTTGTAGCACAATATTTAAAACGGAGTATCTTTTGCTATATTGTAATTATCATGGATGTTATTATTGAGGTGTAATAATAATAATTTTGTCTCCAGGAAAAAATAGAAGATTGGCTACAGAAGGCAAGGAAAACTTCTTCAAGATGAGTTGGAAAAGGGCAGCAAACTTTTGATTTCTTAGCTGTACGTCATATGTTTCATAATTTCTTCCTTAAGTGTTTGCTCTCAGTTTTTCTTTTAAAATTTTGTACTATTTTAAGCTTTTCCAGTTTATTGTTGTTGTCCTACTAGGTTATTATACAATTATGGTAGAAATAAGATTTATTGCGGTTACAATATTCTTTAAAAAAACATGGTGCTTTTTGCAATAACTTATAATATTGAGCACCCTTCCTAGCTACTGACTAATCATAGAGATTCTTCCTCAGTGATCATATTTCTACAATGCCAATGTTTTACAAAATGAAACCAGTGAAAGAGCCCATTTTGCTCTTTGATTGCATCAGAAGATCAATAGGGCAGGCATGGCAATTCATAATAAATGATACCGCAATTACATTCTTTTCAAGAGGAGTTGCCATGTCCTTCAGATGCAAAATATTTTTATCAACTTGTGTTGCCTCATTTGATTAATTAAGGAATTTTTGTTTTCTTAAGTGTGCCCAAATGTCCTTTCTGCCTTTGGTTTGATTCCGGTCAGGAGAATGCCTAGTCAACCAATGTCTCCTTTGAAATAGTATGATTTAAACTCTTGCCTGAAATTTTGCCTGGAATTTGACCTTACATTAAGGTGCTCTATGAAATTCTTTCTTACAAATTAAACAACATTCAGTTGAAGGAAAAGCCATGAATTTGGTGAATAATATTTGCTATTATATTCTAGTACAATGATTTCTGGACTGCACTTGGAGTGTTACACCTACACAAGAGATTCTCAAGTTTAAACTGTGAGCATACTTTATACCTTTGTTTATTTTTTTTTGTGTAAGAAAAGATCAATCCTCAGTATCAGTTAAATTGTATTACCTTCGTAATGGAAGTGCAAGGCTTGGTTTCTGGTAAGCAGTTAAAGTTGGACTTGGAGTGATGCATTTTTTGACTTCTGGTAAGGTAAATGAAGTAATATATTTTCTTCCTTTATTTGAAGGATGCAGGGGAAGGAATACTTACTTCCAGTCGGCATTGTTTTAAAGGTATTGTGCTTTTTACTTGTTTCTTCAAATGTTTGCTCATGCTTTTCACTTCTCTTGAAGTCGTTTTTAATGTAACAGTCGGCTACCATTATCTTCTTTGGGGCTTATCTACCTTCTCATTTTCAAATGAACATGTGAGCTAATGTCGAAAACTATAATTCTACACGTATTTGAAAATCCTAGCTCATTATGGTGGAGGCTGGTAAAAGAGCTCTTGTCCAAAGTAGAGATTTATATTTCTTGTTGCCATCGTGGTTGGCCAGATGTTCCATTTAAAATGTATTATTTTCTATACCTTTTTAATTGGTTTTTTTCACTAATCTATTAAAAATTAGTTGGTGGAATTCATGATATATAGGCTAACATATTTCTTGAACATGACTGTGGTGTGTTTAGTAAGATGTGTGTATAGAACTGGTTAGAGTATGGTGCTGGAGGAAGTTCTTTGATGTTAACATTCTGTGTAAATTGCAAAACTCATAAATCAGGAGGTCCAATCCATTGGGCAAGTGAATTTAGATGTACGTTAGCTTTCCATTTCAATATCGCAGGGCTGTATTAGAAGTGCTCACCTCTGGTGGTTTAGCATAAATTTTCTTGTTTGGCAAAAGTTTAGCATTTCATTTTGACATTGGAGAGCTATCGAGTGGTGCTTTCGTTTGGTGATGCCGCTCAAATTTTCTTGTTTATCTCTTATTTCTACTTTATTGATAGGGCAATTGATATACAAAGTAATTCCAGATCGTACTTGTGAATTAAAGTTGGTTTTTTATTTACTTTCTCCATCCATCTTTGTCTCCTTGATACTCTCTTTGCTCCCTTTGTTATTCCTATGGGCAGTGTTTACTAAAATTCTTGCTTGCTTCCATTGGGTATTCTTATCAACATTTTCACCCCTTGGTTGGTAAAAAATCTTCCATATTTATTCCTCTTATTCTGTAGTTGCTGCGGGAAATGATCTGTAGTTGCTGCGGGAAATGATTTTACATTACTCACTTGCTGTTTGGCTACCCGTGGTGTATTTTATGTTGACCTTATCTCCTTATTAGAGGATGTTATTTCTATAGGCTTCCAGTTGACATTGCTTTGATTAAGTTATTTTCTCCATTGGTTCAATTTCTGGTTTAAGTCTGTCAAAGATTTCTTCTTGTGGGAGACGTAGGTTATGAATCACCAATATAAATGTAGATGTAGCTTCATGTATGTGGTAAATGGTATATTAAACTCAGGATAAATCCTTTTTTTGCCTAACCTTAAATTTACAAAATTGCTGTTGAAAGGATTATTGAGGTTCTCCTCAGAATTTGTTCTAAAGTATTAAAAGTTTTGTTATTTTAAATATAAATAAAATGTAGATTGATTATAACATTTTCTTAGAGGAGATTAAAAGCAACATTTATGTCTTTTTACTTGCATCCGTGAAGATGGAGTGTATCCCTGCAGCTTTATGTGACATCTTAGATGATTATTCACACTTGAACAAATAAAAGGGGAAAATGGAGCATATGTATAAGTATTTGATGGATTATTGTTTATGCATGTGTTTTTTATAACCTTTTATTTGGCGCAAGTTCTCTCTTGGATTTCATATAATTTCATACATATTTGTTTCTGTTGTATATGGGCTCATTGATCTCTTTTTTGTGCTTACTTTTAATTTCTGTTTGTTATCAGGCCCTTGTTGACACTAATGATCATGAGATTTATGACAATTTAACATGCTGCTATGGAGAAAAATATGAGAAGGAAAAGGGAGCTGTTGGCTCACAGCTGGTGGGTGAACGGGCAAAAATTATTCTTGATGAAGTCCGGGACTTGTCTCTTTTCACTCGTTTTCAATGTCTACAACATATTGGTACTTATTATTTCACTAGTTTATTTTTATTTTTTATTTAAATATTTTGTTAACTAACAATCTTGGTAAATTTTTTGAAAGAACAACTTTTGAGAAGGTTGTTGATTAGTAGAGGGAAAGTTTAGTGTGCTTTCTCCATGCCTTTATATGCTAATAAAGTCTCACTCTGTGTCTATATAGAGCAAGGGGTCTATTTGTGCTTCTAGGCAGGTGGAATTTAGAATTTCTTAGTAAACTGAATGATATAGAAGTATTTAAATTAGCCATCTTGGCTCAATTGGATTTGGTTTTGCTGGATCAAAGGGTTTATGCGAAAATAGCCACTAAAGGCTTTTTCTTTTTTGAAAAATGTTACTGTCCTAAGTTTTTTGCACATGTATCCAAATGTTGAAGTGAACTGACTAAAATGCCCACTTAAAAAACTTTTATGGGATATCTTTTGTAAATCATGAGGAGTATTTTATTCGCTTGACTTCAATAGATGGGTTTAAGTAGAAAAAAATATCGACATTAATTAACAAAGATACCTTAAAATGGCTATTTTCGCTAAAAACCCTAATTCAAAGGAGGAATCAGGCCCTGGAAAGTTAACTCTTTGGGCAGTTGCTCTTGCAAAGCATACCTTTATTGGTGATTGATGATTCATCCCCCTCCTTATTTCTTCCAGCTAAGATGTAGGAAAGCCAAAGTTCCTAGTAAGAATTTAATTTAATTTTGGGAAGTAGCTTAATACATGACATTATCACTGGTGTATTATGTGTCAATCATCTTTTATCCACTGACCCATAGCCATGAAGTCGTGGTTTCAACTCTTTAAGGCAGCAAGGATGGCATGGGTCATTCCTAAGCTTGAGTTTGTGTGTCTCAAGTTTTGGAGGATTTGTGTACTTCGGGAAGAAAAAGCAAAGATTTTATGGAGATGTGAATGATGACAATTTCTGAGTACTATGGTTGAAAAGGAATGGAAGGATATTTGAGGATGAGATAGAAGGGGAGAGTGGCTTCTAGTGGCATAGAATTTGTTTGGTGTCTTTATGGGCATACTTGTTGGGGAATAAAAAGCAAAGATTTTATGGAGATGCGAGGGATGAAATTTTTTTGGAACCATGGTTGAAAAGGAAAAAAGGATATTTGAGGATGAGATAGAAGGGGAGAGTGGCTTCTAGTGGCATAGAATTTGTTTGGTGTCTTTATGGGCTTCTGTTGCTAAGGAATTTCAGGACTCTTCTTTATTTTTCATTTTCGAAAACTGGGAGGCTTATCGGTACTAACATGTGCATTTTGATTAGTGTATAGGGCTCATACTAGAGAGACCCTTTAACTGCTTCTGATTGTAAATCTTTTGGACCACTGGTTTGTCATAACAATTTTGTATTTTATTTTTCATGGTAATAGATATCATGTTGTTTCTTATTAAAAACAGTTAATAACTATCTGTGTTAATTCTCTAACTAAAATTTTAGGGGAGCACTTCCAACCTGTTATGGATGGACTCAGAAAAGAAAGTTATTATGTTGTAAGTTTTTCTCTACTATCTATTCAACCCCCTTGTTTCACTGAAAATTTTACTTCGCAATGAAGGTCTTAAATATAAGTTTCTGAAGTTATTTTCTTTTTCTTCTTCAATCTTCTTTGGTAGGTTGCTGAAACTGTTCTGAGGGATTACATCTTTGTTCATCTTGATGACAATTACGACAAGTTCAATCTACTCATGTTAGATATGAACTGTCTTTTTCTAAAATATGTTTACTTTGTGTGCTTGTTTCAAATTTGGACATTTAGTTGTGTTTCTTATAAAGTGGAGATTGTCTCTCACATTTGGATTTGTTTTTGGTTTCTTTCTTCAGCTTTATGTTGCAGAAACTTTTCTCACTTATTGATCAGACTTCAGTGCCAGACAACCCAGACTCCTTGCAGAATCAAGAAATCTTACTTCCTGGTCACTTGATTACCATTTATCTTAAGGTAGTACCTTGATAGTGGACACTTTTGAAAGAAATGTCTTCTGTTATTAAAAGAATTTTTCAGCAGTAGGTGAGAACTAGAAAAATTGATGTGGATAAAAGAGGAGTCATTTAGTTTTCTTTCTGAGGCAGGGAGGCTAAGCTGTTAACTGATTTCATCCCACCTCAATATAACTCAGCTATTGAGCTGTTTAATCTCTGTGTTTTTTTGGTGATTAGATGATTTATATTTTCTTAAGAAACTATGATGTTACTTTTTTAACCTTTTTTTTTCCTGCTGTGGCATATGAAGTTTGCATTCTTATTGATGAAGCAGTAACTATTTTCTGATTTGTCTTATTTCATGTCATTTGAAGTGTCATAAATTTGAATACAATTTGTATTTTAATGCAATCACCTTGTAGCCCAAAAAGTTGCTTAGTGTGGTTTGGTTGACCTATAATTAATGCTAAGAATGTCTGCTTATGATTTTTAGTCACTAAAGCATTATTTGTAGCACAATATTTAACAAACGGAGTTATCTTTTGCTATATTGTAATTATCCATGGATGTATATTATTGAGGTGTACTAATAAATAATTTTTGTCTCCAGGAAAAAATAGAAGATTGGCTACAGAAGGCAAGGAAACTTCTTCAAGATGAGTTGGAAAAGGGCAGCAAAACTTTTGATTTCTTTAGCTGTACGTCATATGTTTCATAATTTTCTTCCTTTAAAGTGTTTGCTCTCAGTTTTTCTTTTAAAATTTTGTACTCATTTATAAGCTTTTCCAGTTTTATTGTTGTTGTCCTACTAGGTTTATGCTATATTATGGTAGAAATAAGATTTATTGCGGTTACAATATTTTCTTTAAAAAAACATGGTGCTTTTTGCAATAACTTATAATATTGAGCACCCTTCCTAGCTACTGACTAATCATAGAGATTCTTCCTCAGTGATCATATTTCTACAATGCCAATGTTTTACAAAATGAATAACCAGTGAAAGAGCCCATTTCTGCTCTTTGATTGCATCAGAAGATCAATAGGGCAGGTGTAAGACCCTCAATGATGCCAAGGGCATGGGCAGGCGTATGTCTTTCATCCTTAGCCACAGCCTTGCCAAGACAACATACGGGTGTATGCTAAACAAGGATGGGTGAGATCAAGTGTGGGGTGTTTGAGTGTTGGGACGCCAAGTACTCACTGATGAGATGGCTAGCGGGTGTGGACACTTGCAAGCTAGAACATGCGCACCTAGGCATGTGTTAACATGGGTGTGGGGCGCCCATGGGCAGGCTAAGCAGAGGCACACGAGCTGGGATATGTGCAAACATGCAAGACAAACAACAAGTGGCTGAGTACATGCATGTGGCAAGGAGCAATGTGCGTGGGGTGCATGTGGTCGTGCACTAGATGATGGGATGATCAGACAAGGCTTCATGGTTGCTGAACAAAGGCTGTGGGACGGTTATAATTGTCTAGATAAGCTTGTATGTAAGCCAACTGCTAGGTAACTGCTAGAAAGGGTTGTAACTACTGTTGTAACCTCTATGTAACTGATGTGCCAACATGTATATAAGGCAAGCAGGTTGTAAATTCGTGAGAGAGTGAGAGAGGACAGGGGATATATGTGTGTGTATACCTTGTTGTAACTTAGGTGCTGAATCTGTGATTGGGATCAGATTGTAAACAGTGGAAAACACTGTGTGAGTGCTTGAGTTTCCTTGTATTCGGAATTATATAATATAAGGTTGGGTTTTCCCGTATATGCTGTGTAATATACTCTCATTAGCCTCTCTTGTATTGTGTTTGCAACTTGTAACAGGGATACGCACAACTTGAGGAAGGCTGACAAGTGCTTGGTGTGCTTGTGCCGTGCAGTGCCTAGAAGGGGGTTTAGGCCCTGTGACAGCAGGCATGGCAATTCATAATAAATGATACTGCAATTACATTCTTTCAAGAGGAGTTGGCCATGTCCTTTAGAAGCTAAACTAATTTTATCAACTTGTGTTGCCTCATTTTGATTAATTTAAGGAATTTTTGTTTTCTTAAGTAGTGCCCAAATGTCCTTTCTGCCTTCTTGGTTTGATATCGGTCAGGAGAATGCCTAGTCAACCAATGTCCTCCTTTGAAATAGCATGATTTAAACTCTTGCCTGAAATTTTGCCTGGAATTTGACCTTACATTAAGAGTGCTCTATGAAATTCTTTCTTACAAATTAAACAACATTCTAGTTGAATGGAAAAGCCATGAGATTTGGTGAATAATATTTGCTATTATATTCTAGTACAATGATTTTCTGGACTGCATCTTGGAGTGTTACACCTACACAAGAGATTCTCAAGTTTAAACTGTGAGCATTACTTTATATCTCCTTTGTTTATTTTCAAACTGACGCTGCCATCATTGCTGTCTGAGATAATGCAGTAGCAAATATAAAGAAAGTCATTGATAAAAATACTTCGAGGAGCCTCAGTGCAGCAATTGAGGCTATGTTGAAAACGGAAAGAATGGTTACCCACTCAGGACTAGATTTACAGCAGGTAATTGACATTCTGGTGATAGCTCTCAATTTTTCATTTCAAATATTTTAAAGAGTGCTTCATGCTTGTTATTGTAACCTTTCCTCTTGTCGAAATATTTTGTGCTTTTTAGTTACTTATCCTCTTTGTCCCATGTATAAAAAAAGTAAAGGGAAGAAAAATGCTTCCTTTTGAACAAGTTCTGCTTCTAGTTAGCATTTTTTATATATTCATCATCAAAATATGAAATGCTTTTTGTCGTCAGAATAATTGTACAATCTTATTTGTCATTTAGTTGGGTGAGACTTCAAGCAGAAATACACATTGAACAGTTCAATCATAATTTTTAAGCATGAAACGATATGCCTTTTTTTGGTTTTGCTTTTGTTCCAGTAAGGAGGTAAAATGGTGGTAACGCATTTAAAGGGGATAGCTGAAGACATTGCATGCATTATATATTATTTTTATTTTGTACCTAATTTCCTTTTAGTCAGCATTATGTTGTGTTACCCTTCGATAATCATTAATTTGGTTCTTTTGTTCCATCAGAGAGCTGGTTACACAGTTCAGGCAGAGAGGCTTAACTTTTTACGTTTCATTTCATTCTTTCGTGCTGTGCATCGAGGGGCTTCATTTGCTGGGCTTCGTACAACCAGTGTACGGAAGTTGCTACCTGAGTGAGTATCTTATTGCCAATTTATCCAGCAATTTATATTTGTTTCTGAAGTCTAATATTTTCTTTGTTTATCCTATAACAGATCTTGGGGTTTCCTTTGTCCTGTGCACACGCCTGATGGGGAGCCATGTGGATTGCTGAACCATATGACTTCTACTTGTCGTAAGGCCTTTCATTTCTTTCTTCCTTATTTGTTTTTTTGTTTCAAATTTGCATAAGTTATCACTTCCACACTGATAGGAGCTCTGCAGCTAAAGTCCCTTGTTGTTCTACCACCTACTTATTTCCTGTGATGACAAAATGAGCCATACTGAAGTAATTCAGTGTGTCTTAAGTTGTTAACAATACTAGTAACCGTGGCACTTTTCTTTACTTGGTGATCATTCTTAACTAGTTACAGGAATAGAGCTATGGGTGTAGACAGTGTAATTTGGGGGTGCATGTGGCTGCAACCCTAGTTACTGGGACAAAATTGAGTTGCATATAGAGATTAGTCTAAAGGTGGCCTGATTGCTGTTTGTGCCGAGTCAAGCCTGAGCAGCTTGGTTCAGTTGCAATCTTTGTTACTGATGTTTGACATCATACTTTTATTTCTTGTCAATTGGCCTGACGTCTAATTTTCTTCTGTAATTCTATGTATTTCAGGAGTTACATCATATTATGATTCACAAGGAAATGTCAGAGATTTTTCAAAAATAAGATCATCTATTCTCAGTGTTCTAATTGGGGTTGGGATGATGCCCTCATTGCCTAAGCTTGTTAAAGCTGGTCCTCCTGCAGCTCTATCTATTCTTTTAGATGGTCGTGTTGTTGGAGCTATACCTTCAAGTGAAGTTGAGAAAGTTGTTGCTCATTTAAGGAAACTGAAAGTGTCTGCTGCTTCAGTGGTATGTTCAATTCTATCCCCATTGCTTTTTCTTTCTCCAATATATTTTTATTATTTTATAAAAATTTGCAGATTCCTGATGATCTGGAAGTGGGTTATGTTCCTTTGAGCATGGGTGGAGCATATCCTGGTTTATACCTGTTTACATCTCCTCCTAGATTTGTTCGGCCAGTTAGAAATATATCTCTCCTTCCTGAGGAAAGTCAAAACATTGAACTCATTGGGCCATTTGAACAGGTGAATACAGAAGATATACATTTCATATCCTAATAAATACTGTCTGAGATGAATCTTGAAATTTAGTCATCAGGTAGATCCTTATCTAGCAGATGGGACACCATATACTAGTCTCTTAACATATATATATTGTTATATTAGGTCTTTATGGAGATAAGTTGTCCTGATGGTGGAAATGGAGGAAGAAGTAATGATTTTTCTGCAACTCATGAAGAAATTCATCCTACTGGGATGCTCAGTGAAGTTGCTAATCTCACACCTTATTCGGATCATAATCAGAGTCCACGTAACATGTATCAGTGTCAGGTATTTCCTGCATGTTGTTTTGTAGTTATGTACTAATATTCTTGTTGTCTTGCCATTCTGCTACCTTGATGTTTAATATTCGACTTTCCTAATCTTTTCATTATTGCAGATGGCAAAGCAAACAATGGGTTTCTCATTACAAGCTATTAAGCACCGTGCAGATCAGAAATTGTACCATCTTCAGGTCTGGTTCGTATATGTTTTCTTCCTCTCATTTTCTTTTTTTCTTTTTTTGTGATGGAGCTCATTGATGCCTAGACTTAGTTACATTATGATGTGTAGAGTTACAAATTTATTGATCTTGTTCTCTTAGAGGGAGGGCAATAAGACATGGTCTTGTAGTTGATCTGTGTTGTAGTTGTGCCCATATATGGAGTGGAGAGCAACATTATTTTCATCTTACGTGTATTTAAATCTTCAATCAAAATCTTAGAACGCTCAACTAGGAGAGCAGGAGGCAGAAGTTTGACAGGAAAAATATGAAGGCATTTGTATGGAAGGAAAAAAAAGGTCAATGAACAAGTATATAGATGTTGTAGCATTGAACATGTTGAGTTTTTCTCAACTCACAAGCAATTTTTTTGATCCCCTTTATATCAAGTTATTGTAGAATGCTTGCTCAATGGCTACAATGCTTGCTCAAGTTGGATAATATGCAGTTACTCCTGTTAAGCACTAAATGATAGTCTCTATGACACAGCCGTTTGTTGTTGGGTTGAGAGTCTATGGATTTTTGTTTGCCACTTTAGCAAATATTTCTACCTAAGGTGCACTATCTTTGGCGATAATCATACATATCACCTTGAATTGGTCGATATGGGTACTGAAAATTACTGAGCTTCTTGCTAAAAGTTCATCAATCATCTGTGATGTTCCTCAGGTTGACTGATGTCGGATGAAGCAAAAAGTTAAACCATTTAAAATTCTTTAAAGTCATATTCTTGCATTTTCTGTGTAAAGCTTGTGGTCCAACATCTTTCAGATATAACAAATTATTTTATTTAAATGGATCTATCAACTGCATTCAGCAAATTGTTTCATTGTCATAATGAGGTTTATGCTTTTTCCTCCACTCGCACTCTTGTAACAAATATTCTCTAGGAAATTGACAGACTCCTCAAACTCCCATTGTGCGCACAAGTACTTATACAAAGTACAGCATAGACGAATATCCAACTGGGACAAATGCAATAGTTGCAGTGCTGGCGTACACTGGGTAAGAATTCTAGATAAGTATATGGGGCTAATTTTATCGTCTTAATACCATAAATCTAATATCTTTACGTCATTTAGGTATGATATGGTGGATGCCATGATCTTAAACAAGTCATCTGTGGATCGTGGAATGTGCCATGGACAAATATACCAGGTTTGTCTTTATGTCCATGTGGTGTAACTTTAAAGAAGTTTAGCTTTTTGAGCAGTATGTGCTCTAATGAGAAAAAAATCCAATGAAAGGATATGCATTTATGAGAAAATAATGATATTTTTTATTTTTATATCTCTTTGATGTTACTTTTAAGTGCAGCTTTTGAAGAATAATTCACATTAATGAGGTAAAGTCATAAAATGATACGCACTTATGAGAGAAAAAATGCTCATCAGAATATACTATTTTTTTATTTTATTTTGGGTTGTTAGGTAAATGAAATCAAAACCCACCGGCTGGGAAGTAACTCCTTATTCATTTGATATAATAGTCAAATATATTCTAATATCAGTGCAGGGGTACCTTACATTATCTTAAGAAGAAACTAATGTTAACCTATATGATGCTTTTTTTGGCAGACGGAAACTATTGACTTAGCTGATGATGGCAGCAGGTCAGATCGAAGCCAAAGAGCCTTTAGAAGGAATAGAGATAATAGATCTATGCACTCTGTGATTGATTCAGATGGACTTCCATATGTTGGTCAGGTTAGCGTTAAAAGTTTCTGTTGTTTTCTTTCTTCCTTTTTGGTTGAGTAAGTTGTATTTTTATTCATATTTATCTTGATGAATTTTGTAATAACTGATATTCAGTTGATACATCCGGGTGAACCATACTGTAGCATTTATGATAAGACAACAAACTCGTGGAGATCTAACAGCCGAAAAGGTTCAGAACGTGTCTTTGTTGACTATGTCGCTGTTGATATGAAAAACAGCAAGAACCTTCTTCAAAAGGTAATTGAGTGTTCATTCATCTAGACCATATTTTAAAGAAAATAGGGTAATGCATGGGTATGATGTTTGGGCAGAAGTTTTTCTTGCGTTCTGAAATTTTGTGTTGTATTCCCTGCCAAAATTTTCGCTTTAAAACCATCAATGGTTACTATGCCACTGTTTCTGACATCCTGGGCTAAAGGTTAGTCAACAATTTTGTTGCTTTGCTCATGGTTCTGGTGATAGGCTTAAAAGAACTTGAACTCTAGTTTGCTCCTCTATATTGGTATTGTTCTCTTCTGGGTTTATTGAACAGATTTGGTGTTAGTTTTATGATTAGAGTTCTGTTTTGTATTTCGTAAACACTCCTTCATCACACTATTGATAATTCTTTTAGGAGAGAATAAATACAAAAGAATGTTTCAAAATCTGAATGTTCCAGTAATAAGAGCTTTTAGGAGCTCATCAGATGATTTGGGTCTGGTATCTGGGGAGAAAATAATACACTTTTGTTTATTTGAAACTGGGGGTACTTTATAGTTATAATTGCACTTGTATGTCATTAATTGGTGAAGCTTTCATACTTGGGATTACTTTCCATTGTCATGAATTTTAATTTCATATGCTTTTTATGATGTCGCCTTATATCTCCCTCCGTCTCTTCCTCTCTATATTGCAGGCTAATATACGGTTCCGACATACTAGAAATCCTATTATTGGTGATAAATTTAGCAGTAGACATGGGCAGAAAGGTGTTTGCTCCCAATTGTGGCCAGATATTGATATGCCATTTTCTGGAGTCACAGGAATGCGTCCAGATTTGATTATCAATCCACATGCGTTTCCTTCTAGAATGACAATTGCTATGCTTTTGGAGTCTGTAGCTGCTAAGGTACTCCTGTTTTGGGAATGGAATCTTGATTCATAATATTTTGATCTGCTTATGAGATATTTTATATAATTTTTAATTCGGTTTTAAAAGAAAAAAAGGTGGAAAGTAGCTGTATGACAGAAAATATTTTCTAGAAACCTTTGGAAGTGATTTTAATAGTTAACATACTTCCGGAACTCAAGTAGGCCATAAGTAAAGGAGAGAGAGGGTGAAATGCGACTGGGTGGACCACATGAGTCTTAATCTATATACAGTATGTATATTATTGGTTGGATATTATGCTTGGAATGATGCTTACCTATGTTGTCGCAGGGAGGTGCCTTACACGGAAAATTTATGGATGCTGGATCGGAATCTAAATCACTTGTCGATGAGTTTGGTGAAATGTTGAAGACTTGTGGCTTTAATTATCATGGTTATACAGTGGGGTTTATGGAACCGAACTGACATGTGAAATTTTTATTGGACCACCAGTCTATTATCAGCGGCTTCGGCACAGGTTTCAGACAAATTTCAGGTAAGAAACTTTGTTTCCGTTTATGTTAAATAATTTCCTTGAGCTGAGGCTTTTTTTTTTTTCCTCGTGATTTTATCAAATGTACAAGGGCTACTTCTAGAGGTGGTTTTAAGGCCTAATGAATTATGGTTGCCAGAGGTTAACAGTCTTGACCCTAGCTGGTTGGCATATGCAGGTTCGTTCCACTGGAACAATCGACCAAATCACCCGGCAGCCAATCAAAGGAAGAAAGCATGGTGGAGGTATCCGTTTTGGAGAAATGGAACGAGATTCCATGCTTGCTCATGGGGCAGCATATTTGTTGCATGATAGGCTTCATACATGTTCTGATTATCATGTTGCCGATGTGTGCTCCATTTGTGGAAGTATGCTTACAACTTCATTTATTCAGCCCCAGAGGCGGGCAGTACGAGAGATCGGTGGGCTACCCCCTGCGAGAGCTCCCAAGAAGGTAACTTGTCATGCTTGCCAAACAAGTAAAGGAATGGAAACCGTTGCCATGCCTTACGTTTTCAGGTACCTGGCTGCCATGAACATAAAAATGACCCTTCAGCAAAGTAACGGAGCAGATGTCTAATATCGGTGAGTGTATAGTGTGTACCATGTCAAAACTCTACACCTTGCTCGGAGAATTTCATTCATTAGCTTTGGTTCATTCCAGAAAACATAATTCCAAGGGGAGCGATGTCAATCACATGCTATCGCTATTATCTGTGGCAGCTTATGAGATGCTGTAATTTATGCCGTGATTTTTGTTGTATGATTAATTTTAATTTATACCTGAAATAGGTAGGTTCGATTTGTAAGGTCTTATTCTTATATTGTTTTCTGAGCTTTGCTTGATGCAGGTTTTGTAATTTATTAAGTCCTAATTGTAATTTGTAACTCGTCTAATTAATTGAAATCACAATATTATTTTTGGATAATTAAATATAAAGTTTAATTTTTATAATTAAACTAGTAAAAATAAACTTTTATATATCGTATGGGATATATGGATTGGTCGTGTATATAACTACATATCTGATATCCCTTGAATTGAATAAGAGTAAAGTGATCCTATTGGTCTCAATTTCTTATTTTTAATCCTATTAGCCCTTTATTATTATTTTCTGCATTATAGATTTATTCTTTATGAAAATTGTTGAATAGGACTTAAAAGATTATACCGTGGCGTAACCGATTTGAAAACATTAACCCTACATTCATTTTCAAAAAATAAATAAGATGAAATTTATACAATGGAAAGAGTTTGATGAATAGCATATAATACAATAGAATCATTGGTTTTTTCCCTCGTTCTTCAATCTTCTAATAATTTACAATTCTTAAATGAGATTTTTTTTTTTTTTTTTTTTTGTTATCTGACATTATAATAACAGTATACACCTTGATTAACATATAATCATCACTAAATAAACAAGTCTTACAATGTTATAAATACAATGTTTTAGATTAAAAGATCACATAAAAAGCAAGGAATGTAGGGTCGAAAATATACCTAGCAAACTGGTGGATCCTGGGTATGGGCCGAGTAACTACAGTACGGGTCAAACGGGTGAAAATTGTGAATGGGTAAGGAAATGTATCACCCGTACTTGGTCATGTGGGTACGGGTGGACCCATGGATCACCCATTTCCCAAATCTAAATTTAACATTTTAATTTTTTTCCAAATTTGTTTTAGTTACTAAGATTTTTTTTAGTTGTACACCAACCTAGGGATTTTAGTATTCTCTGGAGAAATATAACCGTTGAAATAGATAAGAAAAATGAAATTGACTTGAATATAGAAGATGAGTAAGGTTTCTGAACTTGAAAATAATTTCGCACCCCAAAAAAGGTTTCAAAAAGAATCAGAAAGAATAAAAAAATACATTAATTCGCACAGAGTTCAATCCACTAGACATTTTCGATTACTGATTACAAATTCTCTCAACCCAGGATTCTTTTACCAATGCTTAATCTCATCACAAGAACAAATACATGATTGTTGAGAAGCTAATAATGGAGAAAAGAAAACCCAGAAAGACATTAATCTGAAACAACAACAATACAGTTTTAATCCATAGTATGTTTCTAAACAAAATTCAAAACCAGCGTCTATACCATACAATTCGACGCTTTGAAAAATCAAAACAATCATCAAATTGAGCAGGCCAGCATTCAAACTCAAAGCATAACCAATATCATAGTCCATTGGAACCATAAGTCCATAACTGAGATAAAGCGTTCCAGCCCAAAAGGAATTACTCAAATTTAATCCTGCGGCTATCAACCGGCCCACCTGCAAAAATAACAGGCGGACTGGGTACGAGTTCTATTCCCACGGGTCCTAACATTAATCCGTACAAGATCCATTTTGCCAGGCCCAGTTGAAAATATAGGATGAAAAATACATACAAAACAAGTAAAACACATAAAGTGGAAATATGAAAATATAAGAGTTATTTTGCATAAAATATTTATTTTATATTAAATTATTAATCGTATCTTATATTTTTATAGTAATTTTGAAGATGCTCAACCCTCCATTCTCCAATTATTTTTAATAATTTATTTGTTATGAGCACATTTGTGGATAATGTAAAGACAAAAACTAGCGGATGCTTACTACAAAATAGGCTAAACAAACAGGGGCCTAAGTTCACATTTTTTGAACTAACGAGTATTTACTACCAGAAAGGTCAAATACAAGGAATTAAGATTATATTTCCAAAATCAGTGGACTTACTAAAAAAGACGAAACGTATGGGGTTTTACTATAAAAAACACTGTTTATTTTTGTACTCCAGAGAAATTGCAATTGATGATAAAGCACAATTTCACCCCTCAAAGAAAAGATTAGAAACGCTTTCAACTTGATGGGAAAATAACAATTTGATCCCTAAGGTTTGAGTTAAATAATACTTTTAGTTTTTTAAAATTTTCTGTAACATTTTAGTTCTTGCCAATTAGGGGTGGGATAAATAATCCGAAAACCGAACCAAATCGAAAATTAGGTTTTTTTACAAACCGGTTCGATTTTCGGTTTGTAAATGCAAAAAACCGGAAAACCAGTTCGGTTTTCGGTTTGAAAAATATTTCTGACTGGTTAACCGAAAACCGGTTTTACTCTAAATATAAAAGCAAACAAATTTTTAACACTCCTCTCTATTCTCTCTTCACAGTTCGTCTTTCTCCACCTTCAAATCTAAAGACTAAAATCTCCATTCTCCACACTTCGTCACTTCCAAAGTTCCAGTTCAGCAGTTCCAATCTTCCACAGTCCACACCGTGACGTGAGCTACTCCATCCACAGTTCCACACTGTGAGCTATTGAGTAGAGCTGACTCCAGACTCGAGTAGTCCACTCCACTCTTCAATCTTCATTAGACATCAGTCACTTCGCTGTCCACTGTCCAGTCACTGTGAGTTATTCCATCCACACCGTGAGCTACGTTCATTGTTCGCCAGCACCCAAGACCCAGCACTCCAACAGACTCCACTCTCCAGTCCGCCATTGTCCCACCGTGAGCAGAATCTTCTCTCCAAGCTCCGATCTGGCGATCTTCAGTTCTTCACAATCCACAGATCACTCTCCAGTCACGCCACCCTAAAGAGACTCCACCCTGAGCAGACTCCACTGTGAGCAGACCCACTGTGAGCAGACTCTTGATTCAAATGGATTCTTTGTTTGTTTGTTTTGTTATTTACATGAGATACCCACCAGTTTTTCAGGGTTTAGTTTATGTATTATGAGTTATTTTGTGGCTAATGGTTGATTTTTCTTGTTAATTTTGATACCCAGAAGCCCTTTTTTCGTGGGTTTCTTATTTTGCTTATTTTACTAATCTTGTTTTGCTTTCTGGGTTTGTTATTTTGTTAATCTTGTTTTGCTTTCTAGGTTTGTTTTAGTGTGCTTTATTTGTGTCTTTGTTTGTTTAAGTTTGTTGTACGAAAGTCAGGGTATCCTGGATGCTAGCTGAAGTTTATCTTTTCAATTCTCTGACTTTGTTTCGTTAATTTTTCTTTGATTAATTGTTGGGATGATTGTTGATGGCAAGCAAATAGTAACTCAAAGTTACAACATTAGACTAAAATCAAGTACACACTACTGCTTTTAATGAACATTTCATATTATATGTTTAATGCCGACACTTATGAGATTATTCACAAAGAAGATTTACTGACAACAAAAGGTTAATTCTCATGTTTAAATTCAGAGGGAACTCAAGAATTTTCAAGCAGCTGTATATCACCTCAACATATTGTTTGTAGAAAAATGTGTGAAAAGGAAGAAATTTGGCACTTAATGAAACATTGAAGAATTTTAAGGATTAAATATAATTTAAAAACCGGTTACCCGGTAATCGAACTGAATATTTGGTTCGGTTTACATTCGATTTTTAACTAAAACTGGTTCGGTTTTTTGTTTTAATAATCCGGTTTGGTTAACCGGATTATCCCACCCCTATTGCCAGTAATATTTTGGTGTGAGGTTTGCCAATGATAAGGACTAAATCGTTATTAATAAAGACCAAAACATTACTAAAAATTTCTACAAGACTAAAGAATAATTGAACAAAACCTCAATACTGAAATTGTTATTACCCCAATCGCTAGCCATGACGGATGTTAAACAGCTTCACACGGCCATGTTTCCAAGGCTAGCGACTTTGGTCAACTCACTATTATAATTATATTTTAACCATGAAAATTAATGGTAGTCCCTCCAATTTCAGCATTAAAATTAAACTGACTCATTCCAAATACTAAAAAGTTGACCCGTCTCGTTTCAAATACAACTACCATATTAGTTCTTTATTTTAACAAAATGTTAGCTGAACTTTAAATTTTCACTAAAATGACAAAAATACACTTTTCTTAAACTAATTATAATATTCTTGAACCATTAGGTATAAAATTTCTTTTATTAAAAAAAAAAAAAAAGGTGCAATGAAATTATATGTATATAAAGTAATAAAAAATTACACATTATAGTTAATTAATCCAAATTAAATAAACACATTACACATAACAAATCAAAATTAAATAAAAACATTCGTTATACATTACAAATCAAAACTAAAGTATATAATATTTTTATTTAATTTAAGTTTGTATAATTTATTTTTCATTATCTTTTTAAAGGGAACTTTTGTCATTTTAGAAAGAGTAAACGACATCTTCCCACCCAAGGTTCGACAAAATCCCAAGCTCCCACTCATGGTTTCATAAATTCCAAATTCTCACCCTTAAATTAACAGAAAATCATTTAAGCTAATGACTAAAGGGTAAAATGATCATTTTATTCTTAAAACCAAAAGGTAGTGGCTGACACAATTTTAGCAGGGGCGGCGCACATTAGCAAACGTCACTGTCGGCGTTTTTAGCCTTTTTTGGGCTACCTTTCTTGGTTCCTCCTCACCTTTCCCCACCCTCCTCCCTCATCAGAGCACCCTCCATTCGTCAGAAAACGTCGACCATTCGACTTCGCAACCTCCATCTTTGCAGCCATTTTCCAATCGCCTCACTCATTGAAAATTTACCCAACCACCTCCATTCGAACCCCCATTCTCCCCTCTTCAAAACCCACCCCAACATTAGCTTCCCTCACTCATCGTTTTTGGTCCACCGGCCTTTCTTTTGTGCCTAATGGGGGCGTTCAACTTCGCAAACCTCCATCTTTGCAGCCATTTTCCAATCGCCTCACTCATTGAAAATTTACCCAACCACCTCCATTCGAACCCCCATTCTCCCCTCTTCAAAACCCACCCCAACATTAGCTTCC